TTTTTTTTTTTGTGTCTGTGAACGCTCAATCTCAGCTCTCGCTGGACCGATTTTGATGAACAATATGTCAAAAGATCAAATATCGTATCTAGTCAAAGACATTACCCTCAAAAATTGAAAAAAATTCCCTCGTTCCCTATAAACGGGGAAAATCCCCCAAAAAATTACAAATTTAAAAATCGCTAATTTTCGATATTTTTTCAAATTTTTTTACTTAAAATTGCCATAACTTTTTTAAAAATGATCGAATCAATATAACTTTTTTCTTTATAAATACCTTAGATATTTACCTATCATTTTATATTTTTATATTTGACCCTTTCCCTGCCCACAGAAGGGGATTCAAAATGACAACTTTTTCACAAAAAATTATATAGTCGAAGACATTACCCTTAAAAATTGAAAAAAATTCCACCATTCCCNAAAATTGAAAAAATTTCCCTCGTTCCCCGTAAATGGGGGAAACCTCCAAAAAAATTACAAATTTAAAAATCGCTAATTTTCGAAATTTTCGAAATTTTTTTTACTTAAAATTGCCATAACTTTTTTAAAAATGATCGAATCAATATAATTTTTTTTTTTATAGATACCTTAGATAATTACCTATCATTTTATATATNTTTTTTTTATAGATGCTTGATATCTTTACCTATCATTTAANATTTTTTTTTTTATAGATACCTTAGATAATTACCTATCATTTTATATATTTTTTTTTGTAAATTTGACCCTTTATCTGCCCACAGGGGGGATTTTAAAAGACAACTTTTTCACAAAAAATTAACTTTTTCAACTTAACTTTTGAGAAGGTTCCGGAAATACTGACACTTTTATATATACCTTAAATTAAAGATTATGTAATATACTTTAATTTGAAAAAAAAAAATTTGACCTCTGGACTTGTCTTCATGGTGAAAATGACTACCGTATGCAAAAATATGCTATTTTTGTGAAAAAATTCTTGATATTATATTTTACATTTTTTAACATTATGTTGCTATAACTTTTTAAAAAATGCATGAATCAACTTTATTCTTTAATGATAAATACTTTATATATACTTCTTTCATTCGACATACTTTTTTTTAAAATCGGACCATTTCCCTTTATACAGGGGGGGTGCAAACCTTTTAAAATGCGTATAGAAAGTAGAACTTTTTCAACTTAACTTTTGAAAATGTTCCGGAAAGACTGACACTTTTATATATATCTTAAATTAAAGCTTATGTAAATACTTTAATTTGAAAAAAAAAAAATTTAACCTCTGGACTTGTCTTCGTGGTGAAAACGGACATCAAAGTTAAAGAAAAACTTACGCCTTTCATCTGGCACGCTTTTTTTGTAAATCGGATCATACCCCTTTAACAAGGGGAGTCAAAACTTTAAACATGTGTATTGAAACTAGGACATTTTCAATTTAATTTTTGAAAGTTTTCCGGAAATATTGACACTTTTATATATATCTTAAATTAAAGCTTATGCAATATACTTTAATTTGAAAAAAAAAAATTTGACCTCTGGACTTGTCTTCGTGGTGAAAACGGACATCAAAGTTAAAGAAAAACGTACGATTTCCGTGAAAAAAATCTCGATTTTATATGTTATATTATTTAATTTATATTTTATATAACTTTTGGAAAAATGTATGGATCAATATTATTATTTTTTTATAATAAATATTTATATACCCCTTTCATCTGGCACGCTTTTTTTGTAAATCGGATCATACCCCTTTAACAAGGGGGGTCAAAACTTTAAACATGCGTATTGTTACTAAGATATTTTCAATTTAATTTTTGAAAGTATTCCGGAAATACTGACACTTTTATATATATCTTAAATTAAAGCTTATGTAATATACTTTAATTTGAAAAAAAAAATTTGACCTCTGGATTTGTCTTCATGGTAAAAATGACTACCGTATTCAAAAATTTGCTATTTTTGTGTTAAAATTCTGGGTTTTGTATTTTATTTTATTTTAAAATAGCTGACAAGGGGAGTACAGATTTTCATAAATATTATATAAATTCAAATTAATATATCATAGAAAGTGAAACTTATTTAAATTTGTTTGCTTCTTTTAAGTCGAGAAAAATAATTTTGAAATTTGAACTAGCTTAAATAGCTAATTTTTTCAACTATCGGTAGCGACGTACGGTTGCCGAGTTGGTAGTACTTGTCTTTTGCATGCTTGGGGTACGAGGTTCCCACTCGAGTATTGCATTGAATTTTTTGCATTTTTTCTTAACTATTTTTAAGTTAGTATAAATTTTTAAAGTAATGTTCAATTAATTTATTCAAGAAATATATTTCATAAGATATAAAAATTAAATGAAATAAAGCTTTGGTTTTTACACAAATCTTATCAAAAGTTGGAAGTTTTGAATTATAACCATATAATTAATGGCGTTAATAAAAAGTGTTTGATAATTTATATGCTCATAGAATAAATTAATGAGAGTATTTTATACAGTAAGATGTATGAATCTTTTAAATCATGATATATATACAACATCGAAAGTTAATTGCTGTTGACATTTGAAGCCGCGACAAGAAATATGTACAAGAATAATTGTACATTTTATTTACTTTCAGGAATTGGCGTGGGTATGACAAGAGATTGTTCTACTTTGATGGTAGCTCAGTATTTTAAACGGAAGCGGGAATTCATTGAGATATTTATCGTTTCAGGCAGTGGAATAGGTATTGCTGTCATGTCTAGTTTCATTAAAGGAGCTATTAGGTATATGCACGTCAATACATCTTACGATCATTATAATGAAGTACCCATTATTATCTTTAATATATTTAATTTTCAACTCTATTGGGTGGAGATTAGGATTACAACTGATTACTGCTACTGTATTCACCACATTTTTATTAGGAACCTGCTACAGGTCTACTTCATTGTATCATCCATAAAAACGAGCCATACTTCATTTAAAAAATCAAAAACGTAAAATCAAAGACAAAAAATTAGTGATTTTTAAATTTATAATTTTTTTGGATNTAGCGATTTTTAAATTTGTAATTTTTTTGGAGGTTTCCCCCATTTACGGGGAACGAGGAAATTATTTTTAATTTTTGAGGGTAATGTCTTAAACTAGATACGTTTTGTGATCTTTTGACGTATCGTTGAAATAAATCGGATCGGTGAGAGATGAAAAATTTGGTAACAGACACAAAAAAAAAAACCCAGCACAGGGGGGTCGCGGCACAGTTGTGACGTGGTATAGTTGGATCAAGTATAATGATATCTGACAGTGATTAAAATCACTATCAAAAATAAACGCTTCGATGCAAATCTTTAGATAGTGTTTAATTTTAAAAAAATTGGTGTTTTATTCCAAAAGCTACTTGATCTGCTGGTTCCTTA